ACTGAAGCCCCCCCCCCTCAGGACTCGTAAGTTCCCCCCGTGCCCTCAAAAGTGGCCCTCTTCTCCTGGCTTCCTGTGCTGACCTGGGCAGGGGAGCCATCCAGTGCGGCCATGAAAGATGCAGAATTAAAGATGGCATCGGGCGTCGGGAGCCTGCTGTGGCCAAAAAGCCTCAAAATGCATTTAAATGCATTTTCTTCAAGGGACAGACCTTTCTCCCCCTCCCCCCGACCAAATGCGACCAGGGGCTCCTTTTAAGGGGGCAGTCCTTTTTTTTTTTCTCTACAACTTTGCCTCTGCTCTTTGCGCTGGATCCACTGCTATCTTGGCTCTTTGCCCAGAATGGGTTGGGCACTCCTGCTCTACACCCTCTCCTTTCCCTTGTTTCAGATTGGCCATCTGCAAATGCCTCTGACATCTCAAACTGTATCAGCTCAAAGGACCTGCCTCTCAGAGTTCCCAGGTGTTGAGGGATTATATGCCTGCTATTATGCCTTGTAAGGGGATACATTCTTGTAAGAGGATATATCAATTGCTACCTCTTTGTCTTGCCATCCCTACTGAGAGATGCAGAGGAGGGTTGGGCCCTGGTGGTGCTCAACCCCTCCCTGTCCTTTTGGGTATGCATTTGAGAGGAAGCCTCTCAGCCTGGGGTCACAGAATTGTGCTAATGGAATTCATACTAGCAGTAGCTGTGCTTTGACATTGGGGTAGAGCTCAGTCTCTCAAGTGTCCACCTTCCACACTCCCCTAGGCTTGAGAGACCAAGTTGCAAAGTCTGCACAGCTATTTTAAGCCCCTTGACGTCAAGTCTATGGACCCAAATTTGCTTTCCCATTCAGTGCATACATACCCTTTTAGGTGGGCTTGTGCTCAGGGCTAGCAGGTGGGCAGCTTCCATGCTCAGTAAAGTAAGGAACTAGGGTTATGGCTGGTTCCTGGTGGAGAAGCTGGTTTTGCCCTCCTGCCAGCCATATCTCTTCCTAGACATGCCCCCAATTCAGTCATTACTTATGGTTTGGAATCTCTTTCCAAAGGGCTGTTATTGGTCTGTAGAAACAAGGTCTCTGGCCCACAGAACGGTAACATCAGCCAATAAAAATGAATGTGCAATAGGGGGTGTATATATAAGAGAGAGAAATATGACCAGCAACCTTTTGTTTAGGAAAAATGAATGATTAGCTGTCCTGAAATTCTAGCACAGCACAGGATGCAGAAGATAGGATGGATTCTAAACAATATCAGTAAATAATATAGGAGCTATCCCAAACAAGCATTGTACAAAAAACCTCCTAGCTCCATGATGTTTGGGATTTCAGTGCAGCAGACGTCTCATCCCAAGAGAGACAATGTTTTCTCACCACAAGCTAGAAAGTCATTTGGTTTAATGAAACACTGAGTGGCTTATTAAATGCACTGAAAAATGTAATGTGCCATAAAGTATATTTGACGTTAAATTACTTTTCTAAAATTATTTTTAAAATAACTCAAACAAATATCCAGTCTGGTTTCCTTTGCAATACCTTAAGTTCAAAGGCATAATGATCAGACAACCTGTACTTGCTGGATGATTCATGTAATAAACCTGTTTACTGATATCCTTGTCTCGCTGTTGGTGGAAACTCAAAAGTGGCAGAAACATAGGAATAATTAACCTAAAAGACCAAGAAAAGTGCTTTAACTAAACATCACAAAAAAGCAGGATACCACAGAAGACTTGATAACTTCTGTAGTAACCGGGACCATTGGAAGGGGCGTGCCTGTGGACTGTGTATAAAAACAAAATATCTCGTGGCCCGCCAGCAGATTAGCCTGAAGGGCTTTGTGCTGTAGACCACTGACCCTTGGACTAGATATAAAGTAGGTGACTATGTTATCTACTTCACAATTGCAGCATGCGTTTGTGAGAGTTAAACTGTAACTAGAAGCATCACACCTTTGGGATGACATTTTGGAGGAGAGGTGCGTTTAGCCATAAGAGAGTTTGAGGGGTGTACCCAGAAGAACTAGACAGTGGGTTACAACTCTGAGGATGTGTGCACTGGAAGGTGCCTAAAGACCCCAGGTTCTCTCTTTGGATATGTCTACACAGCAGCGTTATTTTGGAATAACTAGCACTATTCCAAAATAACATAGCCTGCATCGACATAGTAAGCAGTTATTTTGATATAATGTCCAACTAATGTCAAGCTTGAGGACTCCTTACTCTGACTCCTATAACTCTAACTTTACAAGGAGTAAGGAAAGTCAAAGGAAAAGTGCTCTTTCTCGGACTTCTTGCTATGTAGATAGTGCCCCAAGCCAAGATAAGCTATTTCGACTTATGCTACGCAATTGGTGTAGCTCAAGTTGCGTAGCTTATTTTGGTTTTCACCCTGCTGTGTTGATGTGTCCTTTGGTTTCATGGGCTAAAATATATTGGAGAACCAGAATATAGTGTCTTGGATTCACCTCATAGGGGATGTGTACACTGCCTCTTCTTTGCGGAAGAGGCAATGCAAATAAAGTGCTCATTAGCAACTTCTTGTGTTTCGTTTTCATATTCTTTTCCTATGCTTTTTGCGGAAGAAGTTTTTGCACAAAAAAGCAGTGTAGATGGTTCTGTTATGTGCAAAAAAAATCCTTTTGCGCAAGAACCTGTAAACCTCATTTTTTGAGGAATACGGGTTCTTGCGCAAAATGGTTTTTTTGCGCAAAATGGACCTGTCTATACTGCTTTTTTATGCGCAAAAACCTCTTCCACAAAAAGCATCTTAAGAGAATATGCAAATGAAGCACGAGAAATTGCTAATGAGCGCTTCATTTGCATTGCCTCTTACCCAAAAAAGAAGCAGTGTAGATGTAGCCATCGTGGTCCTGGCGAGTGGCCAGGAGAGGACATTTGCTAGGAGCTATGACAGCCTTCATCAGTATTGGTCTGAAAATTAGCTGGTAGCACTAAATTCATGAGTAGTGTACCAGTGAGTTCTCAGGTTTGTAAGGAAAAATATGGGGAAATTTTATCTCGCTCGGTAAGAATATGGTGAGCCCCACTCTGTTTTTCCACACACAAAGGGCAGCCATATACTTTCAACTTAAAAAAGTATCTTTTAAATTAAATAAAACAACAAGAAGAAAGAACACAAGTAAAGTTTCCACCAGAGTACATAGTTTATTTTGAAACAAACTGTGGAACTTCTGAGAATAAGATGGCTACTGTTCCTAGATATAAAGAAGCCATGTCCAATAACAGAGCTTTAGGCCTTGTGGACTGTTAGCATGCAGTCATTGTAGTAAATGGCCTATTGTATTGGGTTTCTGTATTTCGTCCCTGTTATGGTCTCTCTGATTGTCTCCAATGAAGTCCTTGCAAATGTTAGGTCAGTACATCTTCTCTGTTAGTTTGCCACAGATTTTTTTTATATGTATGTTGATTTCTAGTGCTTCTTTTCTACAGAAGTAATTACAGCCCATTCCAAGGTCATGGTGTTTTGACTGCGTCTAAGTGTAAGTATTTGCTCATTAGGAGAGGGTGGTGGGGGTGGTATTTGTATTACAGTAGGGCTCTGAGGCTTAATCAAGTGGGGGGGAGGGAATTTGTGTAGCAAATTGGGATGGGAGCTTGGTTTTGGGGATATTTTTTAAACAGATGTTTAATCTTATTAGACTCTTATGATGCAGATGGTGCTGTATATCCTAGTTGAATTCATGTTTACGTATATAACACATACCTCTTTATTGCTCAGTAGAATATATTCAACATAGGAATGAAATATATTCAGAAATACTACAATTTCTATGTTATTCTTTTCATCCTCTTTTAAATCTCAAACATAGCTATTTAAATACAGGGCTACCACTTCTTCTGTCTGACTTATTTTATATGTGTGTGTTTGTGTGTGTCTGTGTGTTAGCCATTGCAGTGTGTTTCAATTTTTTAAAAAACGTTTGGCAAGATTACATACGCTTTTTCGTAGTGCTGTGTGATATCTGCTGCTGAATTTCATTAAGAGTTCTATGGATGATTCCTCTCCTTAGAGAAGTAGAACCTGCATCACCATGCCCTTCACTTACTGTCACTGTCAGTTGGTGTAGTTTCTATCAAGCATTTTTATTACTAAAATGTGGACTAATGACACTTGTCTTTACAGATTTCCTAGCCTTTGCATTAACTATTGCTACTATTTTCAGTGGCATAAAATATGTATTTTGAAAGAGAATTCAGATAGTTTGATGCCTATCTGTGTCATTTTAGTTCTCCATTGGATGACAGATTAACCTAAAATGAAAAAAGGAATGGAAGGTGTGTAAATTAAGCATCACCTTCCAAACTATCTTTCTTCCACTGTTTTATGACAGCGATCTGATTTCCTATAGATCATAGGCAAGTAAGCGGCAGATGAAGGAATCCAAGCAGGCAGGTGACATGTGATTCCATAGAACAGATATTCGTGCTGCAGTGTAAGGAGAAGTAGTGCAGATGTCACATATGGCTCCAACTCACTTTTTGTGTTTTCTTCATGAAAGGCTAAAATTCATAATTTGCGATTAACACTGCAATAATAGTGCAGTGCTTTAGCAATATAGTGCAAGATACAGTACTTACTGAACTATTCTAGTGGTTTGTCTAGACTCCGGTTTTCAGTACAGATTTGGAGAATTTGGAAAAAGAACGCTCCAAAACAGTGATTCCTAACCACTAGTCCACAGGCCAGTGGCAGGCCGCGAACCACTGCTTGCCTGGCTGCGACACACTGCTAGGCCACGCCCCCAGCTGCTCATTGAGCTCCTTCCCTGTAAGAGGTGCATGCAAAAAATTCTCCTCCCATCGACTTCCCCAGGCAGCAGCATGGTGAGTGGCATGGTGGGCAGCTGCCCTGGTGTGCTGTGGCTGGAGCCAGGGCACGGTGAGGCTGTCCCTATTGGTAGTCACTAAACAGGGCTGGTGGGGCCAGCGCCATGTGGAGGAGGGCTGCTCTGGTGGCCAGGGCTGGCACCACGTGGAGGGTGGCTGCTGCCAGTGAAGGGGCTGCGTGGAGGGCGGCTGTGGTAGCGGAAAAGCTCCCGGGTGCCCGGGGCCACTCTCCCGCAATGCTTCTCATGTGGAAGGTGAGACCAAGGAACCAGCTGCCTCACTAGTCTGTTCTCCTCCTGCCCATGTTGGCGCTGCCTGGCTTCTTCCCTCCCCACTCAGCGGTAGCCTTGCTCTGGTCTCCAGTTGTTTCCAGCTCAGCCTGCATGCACACAGGGACCTGCTGCCACCCAGCTGCGCTGAGCCCTGGAGGGCTGGTTTGGGGACCTCTTGGTGAGGCGGCTGGGGCTGAGCGGAGACCACCACTACTCAGGTGGTTGGGGTGGAGTGAGGGGATCAGGCGGGAGGAGCCCTCCAAGCCAGAGTCAGCACTCTGTCGCTATCAGTCCAGCCTCTCCCTGGGTTGGTTCCCTCTTTTGCTCATGCACCTCTCCCTCTTTTTCCCTTCCCTTCTTCTCCATCTCCCCCCAGTTCCCTTATTGCATGTGTACAGCTGCAATGTAAAATAACACATGACTGCTTAAAATTAATGCAAGTATGGAAATACATTAATTACCATAAGGACTACAAAAATATTTCTATACTGCTCCGCCAGAGCCTTTTGAATGAGTTTGCTGGTCTGCAGTATAAAAATGGTTGGGAACCACTGCTCAAGTGCTGTCAATAAAGACATCCAATCTTGCATACTTTGCATAACAAATTTCACATTGACTTCAGTTGGCATAAGTGCTGGAACTAGGGGTGATGAGGTTGCTGCCATGTCGTCTGGCTTGAAGTGGTTTCCATTATATATACAGGGTTTACAGTTTGGCTCAATGGCTATCAGCACCCCCACTGTACAAATGGTTCCAGAATTCACATCAATGGGAGCTTTAGGCATGGAAGAAATCAAGAATCGGGCTCTGGGTTTGGAGAATCAGTGTCTGCCTCATATTTCCTGATGGTCTTTTATGTCAGAGAGGCACTAATTGTAAAAGAGCCTGGAGAAACTGAAGGCAGGAAAGCTTCAATAAATTTTTCATGGTACTCCAGTGCTACATAACGATAGAGACCAATAAACTTTGTTATACTGTAGCATTGAAGCAGTAACTTGCTTACAAGCCTGCAAATCACATTAGATAGAAGTAGAAAAAAAAAATCAAGAACATCAACCATGTTTTTTTAAGAAAAAGAAAAATCTCTGATAGAAACAAAGTTTTATGGATTTTATTTGGTTCATGATGATTCAGCTGGAGCCCAAAGCGCTCATGTATTTTTATGATGGATGCAATGAGAACTCAGTATGTATCTTTCTGTCTTTTTATTTGAATGTTTTTAAATTGAAGACCCTGAACTTTACAGCAGAACTGAAGTTACTCATCTTTGTAGGTTGGAAAGTGAATCTTGGAGATCAGAGTGCTGACCATATGGCATTTCCTGGAAAACAATTATGGCATAATGCTGGCATATCTCCACATTATTTTGTGTTTTCTTTAAGATGCTAGCAAATCCCAAAGGGGTAGGGAGAGAAAAATATTTGTAAACATTTCTGCAAGAAAGACTGATTTATGAAAAAAAAGTCATTGCAGGCTGTGACTGATGAATTTGTTTTGTTTTCAGTGATTGTTTAGGGTCAATTTTAAAAAAAGGATCATGCTATAAATGGAAAGCTACAGTAATAAATATTGCAGTACAGAAGGGAAATATTTCTCTTAGCAAAATAGAAATAGCAAAATAACTTTTCTAAATTTTAATTCTGTTTTAGTTTGTAAGGGGACGTCTACAAATTTAACATGGGGTAGATTTACTTTATTTAAATAATACATTATACTGAGCAGTTGGCCAAAATTTAGGGACTTGCAGGGCTGTTTCTATTTGGATAAAAAATTGGTAGTACAAGTCAGGTATATTAGAATCATGACCACAATTACTTCTGCTGGCTTTCTTCTTCCAGCATATCTACCACCCTTCTTAGCCTTTGCAACCAGGAAATCCTTATTAATCTACCAGGCGTTAGTTGTTTCCTGGCCATATGGTTAGGTCCTTAGGTGGTCATGGTCATCTCTAAATCTCTGATTTTCTCTGGATCCAAGACTCAGAGTATGTCTACACTGCAACACTATTTCAAAATAACTAGCTCTATTACACGTCTACACAGCAGGCAGTTATTTCAAAATAATGTCAAAATACTGTCAAACTGGAGGACTTTTTACTCCAACTCCTGTAACCCTCATTGTATGAGGAATAAGAGAAGTCTGAGAAAGAGTGCTCTATTTTGAAGTAAGTGCTGTGTAGACGCTCCCTATTTTGAAATAAGCTATTTCGAAATAAGATAGGCAATTGACGTAGCTCCATGTGCGTAGCTTATTTCGAGGTAAGCCCTGCAGTATAGACGCACCCTTAGACTTCAATGTTAGAAAGGGGCTATCGTAACCCTCTAGTCTACCTCCTGCACATTGCAGGCTACAGAATCTCACCCATCCCTCTGGTCATAGACCTCTATGTGAGTTGCTGAAGTTCTGAAATCATGGTTTACAGACTCCAAGGTGCAGAGAATTCATCATTTACACTAGTTTGAACTTGCAAGTGACCCATGTCCCATGCTGCAGAGGAAGGTGAAAACCCCTCTAGCCATCTGCCAATCTGACCCAAGGGAAAATTCCTTCCTGATCCCAAATATTGCAGTAATTTAAACTCTGAGCATGTGAGCAAGACCCATCAGGCAGATACCTGAAAATTCTGTGTAATAACTCAGAGCCCTCTACATCTAGTGTCCCCTCACTAGTGCTTAGGGATTTTTAATACTGGCCATTGTTGATGGGCCACATGTCATGGTAGGCAGCCCCATCATGCCATCCCCTCCATAAACTTAGTAACTTGTTCTTGAAGCCAGTGAGGTTGTTTTGCTTCTCACTGCTCCCCTTAGAAGGCTGTTCTAGAACTTTACTCTGATGATTAGAAACCTTTACCTAATTCCAAGCTTAAAGTTGTTGATGGCCAGTTTATGCCCATTGATCCTTGTATCCACATTGGCACTTAACTGAAATAACTTTTCCCCCTCCCTTTGATGTACTTGTAGAGAGCAATCGCATCTCCCCTCCGCCTTCTTTTGATTTTGCTGAACAAGCCAAGCCTTTTAAATCTTCTCTCTTAAGGTAAGTTTTCTGTTCCAGAGTTGCACTCAGTATTTGAGGAGGTCTTACCAGTGCCTTGTATAATGGTCCAAACTCTTCTTCAAGTGATGGTGCATGTACATTCCAATATGTGTGCATGATCATCAGAAGACTTTTTTCCTAGTGGTACCCATTAGGACAGCTGTGGCATGCCTTGTGATGACGCCTCACGGTGTAGCATCTATATCCCAGCTGACTCCTGCTGCAGGTCCATCTTTCCATCAGTGATAGTCATTGCAGCTTCTGACTTCTAGCTTTGCAGATAGTCTTGTTGTTTTTGTTGTGTAGATTAGTTGTTCAAAGTTACTTACAGTAGTTAGCTTAGGGTTTTCTCCTCCCACCCCCTCATATTGTTTGTACTCCTGGGACATGCAGCAGCCCCAGGGTTTCAAGCAGCATGCAAATTGTGGCAAATTGCCTTTTCCCTCCAGTCAGGATATTTTTCTTTGTTTTCTTCCCTAAGCCCCATGCTACAGAGAGAGAGTGGGAACGACACTCCTGGGATGTGAGGCGTGCCCTCACTTTCTATATTGAGCTCTCCTAACTGTTCTGCCGATGGACACAGCTTTTCTTTGCTATTGCAAAGCCCGTGAAGGGCCTACCGATTACATCACAGCACCTGTCATCCCGGATCATTACATGTATCAAGCTGTGCTACAACATGTCCAAGGTACCAGCTCCACCTATCACAGCACTTTCACCTTGGGTATAAGCCTCGACAGTGGCCTTTCTAGCACAAATCTTAATTCAGTACATCTGCAGGGCGGTTGTGTGGTCCTCCCTGCGCACCTGCATGACTCATTATGCTCTCACCCAGCAGTCCTGGGATGATGCAGCTTGCAGCAGGACTGTTTTACTCTCAGCAATGAGCTGAGGTCCGATGACGACTCTGTACATATTGCTGGTAATTCACATATTGGAATGCATGTGAGCAGTCACTCATAGAAGAAAGAACAATTACTTTTTGTAACTCTTGCTCTTTGAGCTGTGTAGCTCATGTCCATTCCTGACCCGCCCTTCTCCTCTCTCGTGGACTGTTCTGGAAAGAAGGAACTGAAGTGGGAGTCAGATATGTGATTCTGTGAGGCATCACCATGAGGGGCACCATAGCCGGCCTGATGGGTACCACTAGAGAAAAGTCATCCAATGATTGTGCATGCGGTGCACACATACACGTATTGGAATGGACATGAGCAGCACATCTCAAAGAACAACAGCTACAAAAGGTAAGTAGCCATTCTTTCCTTGTCTCTACTGTGAAGACACGTTAGCACTTTTCAGAATAACATCTATACATGTTTTGTACACTGAAATTCACTGGGATGAAAAGAACCACTTTTCATATCTTAATCCCCCGTCAATGGGTAGGAGAACACATCATTTTAATTTGGCCATCAGAGAGTTTTTTTTATCTTTCTCTGGTTCCCAGAACCTCTGCTTTGAAATAGTTTCTAAAGAGATGAAAAAGAGGTAGCTTTAAAAAGCACAAATGTTACACTGATGTAAATGGTCCTTTTCTTTATTCCTGAGTCCAGTTTAACAAAAACATTTGGACATCTTCCATTTTAATTTTTTTCAACTTTTTTCTTAACATTTTTTAGATTAAAATTAGAAGAAAAGCATGAGAGAACCCAAACCAAAATAACCCAAAGTGTATTGATGTGTGAAATTACTCATTGTTATGATCCAGAAACTCAGACATTCAATGGGATTCTGAAAAGAAAAGAAAAGAAAAGAAAAGAAAAGAAAAGAAAAGAAAAGAAAAGAAAAAGCACACACTGTAAAACACACAACTACAAAGGAAAAAGACCTTGAATCTAGAGTGTAGTCATACAAAGTGAAGAATGCTACAACTTTGAAAGCATTAAACCTGATCCAGAAAAAATGTGAAATGCCCCAGATACTTAGATGTGAATCTCTTTAATCCATGTAAGTATTAGAAAAATCCAAAACATGTGAAAGTTCAAAAGCTATATAAAACCATGAAATGACTTCTCATTCATTTCTCAAATATTGGAACATTTTCATTGTGCTGAATGGTTCTCTTTCCTGTTTATACTGTAAAACTGCAGTTACTAACAACATATTGTTGAATATTACAAAGCTGAAAGTAATTTCCATTTAATAAGATCTTTTTGGCTGCATATTCTTGGCTTATGTTAGGGTGCTTTTCATGATGTTTAAACCACGGGTGATGTGCAGAATTTCAGTAGTTGCTGCTAGGAAGAGGAAGGTGATAAGTTTCCTTTTTTTTTTAAATTATATTCTTTAAATCACATTTTTATAGCAGGGTCAAGCTATTTTATGGAGGGATTGTGGTGTCTGGGATAGAGGTTGGTTGCAGAAGGAAGCTTGGGGTATAAGACTAGGGTACAGGAAGGGATGTAGGATCTGAGAGGGAGTTTGGGTGAAGAAGGGGGTTATTTGGGACAGGGGCTTGGGATGCAGAGTCTGGGAGGGAGTTGTGACCTGGCGGAAGTAGGGGGCGGGTACAGAAGGTTTGGGCGGTGATCTGGTATAGGGAGGTGGTGGCTTGGTAGTAATGGGGGGAGATATGGGGTGGGGTGGCATAGGAAGGCTCTGGCTGGGAGGTGTGGAGTGGCTACCAGGGCACCTGTGCTTTTTCCTCTTTCCTCTTCTTGCAAAAGAATTCCCTCTTTTCCATCCACACACGCCTTTTTCCAAAAGAGCTATTTCAGAAAAAGGCTTCTTCCTCGTAGAAAGGTTTACCAATGTCAGAAAAAATCCTCTGTTCTTTCGATTTTCTTTCGAAAGAACATGCTTGCAGTGTGGACATAATTGAAGTTTTTTCGGGAAAATGAATGTTTTTCCAAAAAAACTCTGTAGTGTAGATATACCCAGAGTTACCTAATATAATACCATACTTACATCCCCTTCTCCCAGAAGACCAAATGTGGAAGGACCAACCTCTTTCTGCTTGTGGGACTTTGGTGAAAGGTGAAGCATGGAGAGCTTAGAAGTAAAGACTTAGAAAGAATAAGTTAAGTGAAGCAAAGAGCTTTAGATGAAATAAATAAATACTTGATGAGGAAGTAGATAGAGCTTGTGCTTGAGCCCCGAGCTTCCTTATTCCCATTGCTTTTATCTCTCTTTTTGCATTATAATACCCTGATCATCAAAAACCATCTTTCCGCACCCTGAGATTTTGTGGGTACACATACTTGATTGGATGGTGATATTGGGACATATTTTGAATATGCATGAATAAAATCACCTAATGCCCTCTTGGAATCATTCCCGGGCATGAAAAAAGCGGGAACTTTGCAGTTAGATGCAAGAGGGCCTGTTTCCTCCTGTATCTTTAATCCACAATGTCAGTTAGCTGGGTTTGGCAGTTTTGGACTTATTTTAGGTCTCACGAGGCACTGAGTCACAGACCCCATCTCTGTACTGACCCAACTGAAAATTTTGCCACAAGGTCTTTCATAATTTCTAAGAAGATATTACAAATATTTATAATTTCTAGAAGTTAATTAATCCTTACTTATCACACTGCACTACTGGTAAAGCCAACTCATACAGGCTAAATCAAGTCCTGCGGGCCTTGCATTACTGGCATTTCTATTAAAATATAGAAAAAGGGATAGACTAGGAAAAGATATAAACTTGGCAGGTTATAGCAGGGTGAGATGGAAGCAATATATGCCCCTGCCACATGACGCTATGCTGAAATGAAGGATAATTATATGTGTCTCTAAGTAAAATGGGAAAGGTACACAGTGTGGTATTTGGATTTTCTAATTTGTGCCATTTTTCTTCAAGCATATTGCTATGCAGACACGTGGTGCTGTCCAGCGGCCACTCCTCAAATATTACTCTGGCAGACAAACCTTCACTCAGTAGCAGCATTTGTTATGGGGATGAAGCAAACGCCTGCCCTTATCATGATTATCTTGACTGAAAATCTTTTCCTTGGTTTCTTCCTTCCTCACTGAGGTCTTGAAAAGCTTCTCTGTGCATTATCTGCTTTTTTCAGAATGCTCTATAAAGAGGGGCTACTTAATTCATTCTGCTTGGGAACTTTAGAGTATCAACCTTTCCTACCATCAAAAGATAGATAAAGGGCAATTGCACTTGGAAAGCTGCTGTAAAAGAATTCTAAAATACAGTGGCTCCAGTGACATTCACAGACAACAATCTGGTATGTATTTGTGGGGAAGGAGAACAACAGTGTGGCCTGTGAATGACATGTGCCAATCGCATAATGTCACATTACCATTACTTATGAATAAAGAAAAAGGCCCATTATGTGATATTTAACGAAGAAACCCACTGTGCTGACATGGAGAGGATGGACCTGTGGTTAGGGCACTGGCTTAAGAGCTCAGGAGTTATTCATTCAATTTTGGACTCTGCAAGAGATTTCCTATGTGATGTTGAGCAAATCACAGTCAAATGTTCAAAATACCAACAGTTGAAGCTAGGTTCTCGAAACTGTATTGCCATTTAGAGGCCATACATATCTCAATGGGAGCTGCAGGGCACTTTTAAAAAATCTGAACCCAATTGTTAAGGATACAATTTGGTCATGGAGGTCATGGATTCTGCAACTTGAATAGATCTTAATGACTTCTTTAGCTTCAGCCCTACTCAGGCAGGCTTCAGATGTCGGCCTCGTCAGTAACAGGGCTTGGGCTTCCATGATGTATTATTTAATGCTATCCATGTCCTATCCATGACTTTTACTAAAAATACCCATGACAAAAACCTTGGCTTTACCAACTCTGAATGCTGTGCACTTCACAATCTGACTCTTATTCTCTCTTTTCCTTGGTTCACCATCTGAAAAAATCAATAATTCCTTTATCCCACCTTTGGTGCCTGTTTTATCCAGGCAAATTGTGAGCTGTTTTGGGTAGGGGCTGTGTATAGGCTATGATTTTGTTTGATGGTAATTGATGAATGATAAATGGGCCTGTGATTAATAATTGACATTGGGATTCATATCATTCAACTAGAGGAGGGTTCAGGTTAGTTGGAATTTTAGATATGGAGTCTTAGCTCAGCTCATTATATAGGGAGAGGGCTATTTGTAAAGTTTGGTTCTGGATCAGAACTCTGAGATTTGGGGCTGTTCAGATCCAGGATTTTGGTGCATGTTTATCTCCAGTTTATCTCTGGTGTAGTTGCGTTGATGCAGCGTTTTAAGTGTAGACCTTCCCTTTGTTTCTTGGAGGATGATGTGTGATGAAGAGGAGCTGCTGGATTAACTTTCCTAACACTGCCCAACGAGTTTGAAGGAGTGAGTTTCCACTTAGTGCTGGACTAGCCATCTTTGGCAACCATTGGGAGAAAGCTAGGTATCTTCATAAACTACCCAGTAGCTTTGATGATGATTAGAGCGTCACTATTAGTTCTGCCTACAGGGGATGCACTTCAAAAGAATCCATTCCATGGGATCCTGACTGATCTTTTCAACATTAATCTCGCCTGTTCAAGTCTGCTGTACTTATACTCTAATCAAGTATACGTTTAGAGGACAAGAAGCAATGGGCTTAAACTGCAGCAAGGGAGCTTTAGGTTGGACATTAGGAAAAATTTCCTGTCAGGGTGGTTAAATACTGGAATAAATTGCTGAAAGAGGTTGTAGAATCTCCATCTCTGGAGATATTCAAGAGCAGGTTAGATAGATATCTATTAGGTATAATCTAGACAGTGCTAGGTCCCCATGAGGGCAGGGGACTGGACTTGATGACCTCTCAAAGTCCCTTCCAGTTCTAGTATTCTATGATTCTAATCTGTGTGAGGGGCCAATTGAACACTCTGGTTGTGGGAAGAGAAAAGCTTGCATTGCTACCTGCCTCTGGGTCTTCTAGTTCTAGTTATTCTCTCACAATTTAAGACATTTAGACATTTAGGTACCTAAGTGTGTCTTTAACTTGGCCTAAACTGTTGGTACAATTATTTGAGCTGGCAGTTATTAGCCCTCAAAATAGTCAGCTTCAAAGTGACCTGGCCTCTAAGATGTGTACAAACACTTAAAAAGTATGCAATTTTAAAAAAAAAAAGAAAAGCTAAAGGCTTTATTTTGAATTATAGTGTGGTTTTATTTGGGGTTTTTATCAAAGATTCAGGTCAGGTCCATCTTTTGGCTAAATTGGTTTTCCCAGCCTTAATCATAAACTGTTTTAAATAAATCTCGTGGACACAGAGGCTGTTGAATTTTTTAGTTATTTTGACATATGCACCCCAGGATAATTGTTCCTCCGCTTCAGTATGATATTTGGTTATATTATCCATGACAAGTGTGGTATTTCTTTAGTTTGCCTTTATAATCTCAGAAGTCTATTCTCTTTATAGACATGTGTAACTTCCCTTAATATATACTTGAGCAATTCAGAATTAACTGAAGAATAAATTGCCCCTCATGAGTTGGGCATCTTTTAATAAAAATTCTTAGACTGTTGATTTACCTTTGGGAACAGAGTGAATTTTTGTGGGGTTTTAGATATAATTCTGGAATGGTGTGCTCTACCTGGTATCTGTTAATGCCACAGAGACGCCACTTCTTGCTTGGTTGCTTGGTACAAGCAGGATTCCCAAACTCTCCCTGAATACCTTCCAAACGACAATTTGGGAAATTGTGGGCAACAACTAGTAGAAAATTGTTGATGCTGAGGCAGAGGAGACTGTATGGCAGTTCTCCCCTCAGCCAGGACCTTTTCCTAACTCTGGAGCCAATCCCCTCCCAGGACCTCTTGCTGCCAGATACTAATGTTGGGGGGGAGGCATCTCAGGTGAGTGCACATTTGTAATTAAGCTACAAATATAATTGGGTTTAATGTTTGGTCTGCCCTAAATAATTGGGATACGGTCGCAGCCAGTCCAGCTACCCAGAGGGTGCTCTCTGGAAAAGTCTGTTTATGTACTTGGAGACAGATTGGATGTTTCTGTAAAGCTCTCCTGAAGGTACTATGCAATCCTTGTCAAAGGGTTTCTGGGGAGGGTGGCCTTATTCCATCCTCCATGGTAGGACACCTTTCCACACCAAGGCCAGTAGTAGGCGATCTGGCATAATTGCAGCACAAAACATTGCAGTAAAAGGTCGTGGTCTCTTCCCAGATTCATGAAGCAGCTGCTCCCTATCCTGCTCTCTTACCCTCATGAGACTAATGGCTCATGGTTGAAATGGGGGACATTCTGTCATTGATAGTACTGAGGCAGTCCACCTCTGTTTCCTGATCCCCAGCAAATTGTGACCCTGGGTGGGCTGCCCTGTTTGGGATTGACTTGAAGGGATCATCCCAATGATGTGCATATTCTGTGCCTCTCCACCCCAAACCCAAAGCCCCTCCTTTGCTAATGCAAGCATATGAAAAAAGCAGTCAAGCAATTGCCACGTTGCTGTGGGAAAGGAGGGCTGTAGTTTGCCACCCTTTCCTACACAAAGCAAAAGACCCCTTCTGGCCTTTTGCTTACTATGTCTGCGTACAAACCAAATTCTCCTGCCCAGTGCTTTGCTGTATGTTATACCTTACTGGTAGACTTTGTTCCCTCCAACTGTTCCCTTTCCTGAGAGGAATGAATTTTGTTATGTGGACCAATGTGGAGGTGATGTGCATAACAAAATTGGGGTGTGGGCTCTGGGATGGGGCTCGGGATGAGGGGTTTGGAGTGCAGGAGAGGGCTCTAGACTGTGGGATTTGGAATACAGAGGACTGCAGGTTGAGGCAGGAGATTGGGGTGCAGAAAGGAGTAAGGGCTGTGAGGTGGGCACAGGCATGAGGAGTTTGGGATGCAGAAGGGGGCTGCAGGTTTGGGGAGGGGGTCAGACCTGGTTGTTGGAGTACTGATTATCTCAACCTGCACGGCTTCTCCACTGCTGCTCCGGAGTCCTCTGGCCTATGCTTGCTGTCTCTCGGTGAATGGGGCCTGGGAATAGCCTGCGGAGGGTGAGGGGGCCAGGAGATGAGGCTAGCCACAGGAACTGATGCAGATCGCATGGCGGGGGAGGTTGGGGGATGCCCAAAAGTCCCCTGCAGCATCTCCACCTAGCTCCTCATCCTCCTTTAATCCTGCCTTTCCTCAAGCACCAGCATTCAAGGTTAAATAAAAAACTCTTTCTACTATTTTTCATTGCAGATATGCAATATCAGCTACATTATGGGTTAAATAGGCTTTGGTGTACTAGCCTGAGAATCTAACTACCATCTATAACATTGTTTCTAGGGGAAGATGTGTTCTGAGTTCCAAACAACTGACTTACAAACTTTTGGCGCACAACCCTTTCATAAATTGGGGGCTTCCTGTATTGAAGTGAATCAGAATGATGAACTTTTGATTAACCTAGGATCTAATTCAAAGCCCACTAAGTAAATGGAAAGGCACTCAGTGAAGCACTGGGCTTTTAATTAGGTCTTTAAATGCTTTGGACAAGTTCATATTTGATTATAACTGGATGGGCTTTCTTGCTATTGGGAGAAAGAAGCCTTGACCAAATTAACAGCAAAATCCTCTGCATGCTCAGGGCAGATCTGTTGGTTCTGCCAGCTGCCCCAGATTACAGAGGGTAGCTCAGAAAGTAGATCAGCATTAGGGGCAAAAAAGAGCTGGGGAAAATTAGCCATCCTTGTAGGCACCATAGATCGGCACTCTGAGAATTTCAAAACTACTTATGAACAGGGTTGGATTTCAGCGAAGGAAAGGGGTTTTGTTTTGTTATCAAAATAATGAACTTGGGAGGCTTGCTGGGGTTTTAGCTGTTTTAAGGTTTACTTCTCAATGGACTTACACATACATATATATGATTTAAGGAACAAATTCTGTTGTTTTTAATCAGGCAAAACTTTCACTGAATGAGTCAGTAAAATCTGACAGCTATGTACCTGGACCTGGCTTTTAGTATCAATATTTCTTCCTTTCAAGGTATCCCAACAATGTGTCCCCTCTAGGGTTGTAAATATCCATTACAAGTGTTAACTGCGTAAGCGATATAATTATAATCATTTAACCATTTAACTGATTAACTGTGCAGCTGAGGTCCAGTCAGCCCACCGCAGTCAAGGGGCTGCTCCAGCCAGATGGGGTCCTGCTGTACTGTGGGCAGGAGGACTGCTCTGGTCTGTCAGAGTCCTGCCAACCAGGCTGCAGTGAGCATGGTCTGCTCCCCCCCCCCCCTCAACCTGGCTTTCCGCGCTAATGCCGACCAGGTAACTGGTTAACCTTTTTATGTCACTATTTCCCATGTCAATAATCTTCCTTTTACCATACATCAAACTACCTCCTTTTTCAGTCAGATTTCAAGAGTCCCACAAGAATTACTTCAATAAAAAAGTTATTAAAGAACAATCCAAGAGGCTGTTATTGCCTACTCAATATTTTAAGAGCATCCCATTTTTCATGTTTACCTTTTAGACTTGCAAGCCATTTGGGGCACAGGCTGTTTTTATTATTGTTGCTGTTACAATACAAAGTACACCTTTAGTGCCAAATAAAGGAGTCCTGTTACCTCTCGTATTCCTTCAGAGCCAGTTGGAATCTGTTTCATATTTTTTCTTAGACTCCAACATCAATAGATTGTAATTCATATCTTTTTTGCTCCTCTCCAATCCTCTCGGTAGCATCATTATTGTTAATGATCCTTCAATCCTGTATTTTGATATCAGCCACTAGCAATTCCCAAAACACCTTTGGTTATAAGGCTTTGCTCCAAAACTGTGAATGTAAATATACTAATATGGAAATTATATTACAATTCAGAAGCTCTAGATTAGTTATATAGCTATTTGTTCTAGTCATTAAAAGACAGTGTTGTCTTCAAGTAGTCATTGTCAAGTCCAAGTTGAGACTCAAGTGACTACAGTTCAAGTCTCAAGTCGAGTCTCAAGTCCCTAAAGTCACTTTCGAGTCAAGTCCCAAGTTGAGTCTCAAGTTTTAATTTTAAAAATGTCAAGTCACTTTTGTACAAGCCATCAATATCGGCATTTTCGGACAATTTTTTCACCAAGTCAATTTAACAAAATTAGCAAGTCTCAAGTCAGAAACAATGAACCCGAGTTGAGTCTCAAGTCGAGTCACCTAGGCAACTTAAGTTGGACTCGAGTTCAAGTTGTGGGACTCGAGTCAACAACTCTGCTAAAAGAAAATGTCCACAGGTACAAATGGTAGGTTGGCACCTAACTCCCATTGAAAATGTCCCCCTAAAAATCAGAATTTGGAGTAACTAAGACAATTCATCATAGTTCTAAAGTTTCCTTAAATGTTTGTGTGCAAGTTTAAATCTGGATGTTGGAATAAGCTTTGACTGGTCAGGCTACTGCCATTATGTAGAGCCTTCTTTGACTTTAGTGGGGCTTTACATTGGGCACAAAGACCCACCTGCACAGATTTAGTTACAAGATGAGGTTTTTAATGCTTGTGAAAGGTGCAAGTCATTTTAAATCCCAAGTGATGAGGAGAGCCCCCCAACACAATGAGAAAGGGCACAGAATTTCAAATGAGAGAGGGGCACAGAATTCAGTATTTACTGACTGCAAGGAACAGAGAATGAACAACAAAGCGAAAAAGACAGGGATGGGAAGTTCAGGAGACAGGTTTAAAATGAGAGATCCAGAGAGGGATACTGAGCAGAGAGCCCTGTTTATCCAGTATAACCAGAAGAATGCTAGTGAAATTAGAAAATCTGGGGACGAAATGTAAAGTAAATCGGGCTACTTACTCATTGTTAATATAATACATGGCACATGATTAAAATTATGGAAATAGTCTTTTCTAGTGGCTGGGGAGATACTTCTTAGATTGTGTGCTATCCTATGACTTCTCAGGTCCCTCAACGGACAGCTGATTAGAGGGTGGCAAAAAAGAAAACAAACAATTATTTGCTTTGCTTGGCAATAGATATAAAAGCGTCTACCCTAAACTCATTCCTATGCCTTCAGTATAAAACCTTGTGTTCTGTATTTTCTCCATGCACAGATTAGGGATGTTTCATTTAAGGTACTGAAACTAGTTACATTGATTAGACTGAAATAGCAACATAAGCACCTCGTCCCACTATCTAGCAGTATTTGTGCAACAATAACTCACCACAGGCCCTGTTATGGAGGAGTTTGTATCTATAATTTTTTATCTCCTCTATTCTGAGCTCTTCTGTCTCTTGCAATGTACCACAGACCGAAAGCAAATAATGGATTGCAGGTTGTGTTTTGCTGCGGTTAAATATTTTCACCCTTTGTATGAAATTAAAAATTGACTCTGGCAGTCAGAAAAAAAAAAAGCTGAAGCATGATGAGTGCTTTCAGGGGAAAACTTTTATTCCACACAGAATGTACATGCTGGCGAAAATTTGGCTTTGTCCAAAGATGTCAGCTTTTCTAAGTAAGGGTTTACATTTTTAATATTACTTGTTTTAAAACAGAAATGGGGAGAAGTGATGTTTGGGAGCCACGTTTAGGCCTGTGTATTGTCAGTGGAGTTGCATTAAATTTGAAATAGGGCTCTGGCTCTACTAAAATTCACTAAAGTTCCTTGTTGCCTTGTTTTCCACATTAACACTCTCTGCAGCATCTGGATCCAGTGGTTAGAACACTAAGCTTAGACTCAGACAACCTTGTTTTAGGTAACACAGACTTTCTGTGTAACTCTGCACAAGCCTTTCTGTGTTTCAGTTCCCCATCTGTAAAATGGGGCTAATAGCACTTATCTACCTATTGTGAGGATAGATACATTCAAGAGGCACTCATACTATGGTGATGGTTATAAGTACCTGGGATAAATAGATGCCCTGTGTCATTACCCTCTCAGAGTATATTAATGCTGCAGTTGGAAACATGATTCCCAGCATGCCAAGATAGGCCCTGTTTGAGCTAGCATAATAAATTTGGCAGCGTAGTTTGGGAATCGCAGGTTCAGTAACTTGCACTAACTCCTCAATATGCACACAGGGCTTCCAGGAGGTTTGTAATCAGGAAGCAAATTCATGCTACCATTTCCGGAATCTCTGGCTAAACTGGTGTTTTCAGCATGGTAGCTCAGGGAAAATTAGTGCATATCTCTGTGTGTGTACTAGGAACTATGCTCGCAGTTGCAAAGTAAGCATTCCCTTAGACATTATGCCACAGCTTCCCTTTTGAACTCTCACTAACCCAGGTTACCAGTTTCCTTTCTTATCCAGGTGTAATTAATGTCAGCACCAGTCTTTCACTTCTGTTCTCCTTCTAACAAATTCCACCTCTTATCCTTCTGCAGAATCAACCAAGTATGCTGTTTTCCCTGTATCTTCCCTCTCTTTTTCCTTCTGATGTGTTCAGTCCTATTGTGCCTTCATCAACTACCATGCCAACTTCCATTTCCTTCTTTCTCCAGAACTCCTGCTGCATCCCTGAGAAACTTACATTAGTCCATGATTGCTTAATCCACCATTCTCTCAGCGAAACCTGGCCTTCCATTTCATTTGATAGCATTTCCCTTTAATTCAGGGGTAGTAGCAACGAGTACTTGTTCCGACCCAACTACTGCTTTCAGCTTTTCTTCCTCCTCCTTCTCATGGTCTATGATTTATCTGCTTCAAGAATCTTCTTTTAAGAACATAAGGATGGTCATACTGGGTCGGACCTATAGCCCAGTAGCCTGTATTCCAACAGTGGACAGTGCTAGGTGCTTCAGAGGGAATGAACGGAACAGGTAATCATCAAATGATCCTATCTAATACTTGTTTCTTCCTGTTTCCTTCTTTTAACTCCCTTTTGGCAACTACAGTGTCCACCTTCATGGCTGTCCAATCTCCCCCAAGTAGTCTTGTATCTGCGAAAATTCTCTCTCCCAGTGTCACTATTTGTGAACCCTTCACTGGTTAATTTCCCTCTTTTTATCTTCCCATTACAGCCATTCATTACTCTTCTTTCTCACTTCTCCTACTCCCCCATTCCATTGCATATGTCTTCCAACGAAACTCCCATTTTACATATCCACCAACATGGTTATGCCACTTTTAATGTACCTTTTATGCTTGTAACAATCTCCATTTCTATTTAAAGCAATCTCTTTTTATTCAAACCAGAGGTGAAAGTAAGGGCATGTGCCCTGGTGCACAGCTCCAGCAAGAACTGGCTGAGCTGCGGCAAAAGCCAGCAGGGAGCTATTTAAAGAGCTGGCAGGGACCCAGGTTGTGATAGGACAGTACTTGTAAGAAATGTAAGTTGCTTTCACCCGTGATTACCCCTTAGTGTAGTCCTCCAACAAGGACATATTAGAAGAATTCTCTCCCTCTTCAAGATTAAGCCGTCATCTGGCATATTCTATATCTGATCTGTATTGCCAATATCTGATCCAAGGTAGTGGTAAGGTCTACCTTTGTTGATGCAGAATGGAGAGTATAAATAATTATAACAAACCCTGGGGGAAATTGGATGTAAAAAATGCATTCTCAGAGAGCTCCATCTTGATCAGCTAGGGTTTATTTCTAGTACAGTTGTTGAATTTGTATAGATTGGGGCTACTTTTTATCTGGTTACCCCTTTCACATCCTGTGGTTCATTCTTTGGTGTTGGAGTCACGTTTGCAGATTTGGTCAGAACTCTGTTTGGTTAGATGGAAGTTGAACCTCTCATCCTGAAAAACACTTTGAACAAATCCCAAGCGTTTAATGCCTGCTGAGATGGGCAAGTGGAGAACAGTGTCTCAAGAGTGGAAAGGTAGGGCAGTCTTTCATCAGCAAGCTCAAAAACTTAGGAGGTGGGAGTCTGCAGCCTAGAAAATGCTTTATGTTTATCAGTTATAAAAAGACAATAAAGTGTTCTGCCAACCAGGGAGTAGATGATCGCTGAACGAGTGAAAGGAGAACATGAGCATTTGTGAAGTGGGACTACTTTAAATAAATGAATGTAGGGATCTTAATCTTAACTAAACATTAATTAAGAAATGTTTGCACAGCTCTTAGAACATGGAAAGCTCTGTACGTGCAAAGTATTATTATTTTATTATTATAGTATCATGAATAATCCTAAATGTTATTTGGCTTGATGGTGCATAACATTGTTGGAATAAGTGGATCCTTTAGAACCCTTCAGCTTGTAAACACACTCCAGCATTACCATCAAGGAATGTTTTGGTTGTCACTTCTGAGGCTCCGTCTATAATGCCATCGTTAGAGCTGTATGGAACACAGCCCCAACTGGGTATCCTAGCATTCATAGACTGACAAGTTCCCTGAGAAAACATTTTCAAAAACGATATCTGGTATTGAAATGTGCCCTCAGATGGAATTTGAGGGACAGGTATTTCTGATGTTTGTTTGTGCCTAATTTGCATATCTTCTTTCGGAAGCCATAGGTAATCTAGACGTAGCCTGTGCCTAAAGCTGCTGGGAGACTGCCCTCTTGTTCCTATGTAAAACCATTGGCAAAGTCTGGCACTCTTGTTCCCATGAACACCTGGTAAGAATCATTATATTTTATTTCC